GGGAGTGGGCCCTTGGTGCGTCCCTCTTTCTCTGGGGCATGAAACCCAAAAACACGTTATGTCCCTCTCAGCCCGGGTTGGCCTTAACAAGAAATGCTGCAGCAGCACTCCTCCTTAACGATATAAATGTGTCATGACACGAATGAGTCACGCGTTCGTCAATGCTTGGGCTTGTACTGGAGTTATTGGCTATCTGAGCAGAGCGTTTTCTCTTGTCTTGCTGTTGGCAGGAAAAACGACGCTCTTTCATCTTGACAAGAAGTCTATATTATATTTTTGCAATTGGTGTAGGTGGGGTCTCCCTGTTTCAGAGGTAACATTAGTAGGCGAATGGCCGCAAGAGTTTGGTGACTCCCAAAGCTTGAGAGTACTAATATTGGACACAACAAATTAATGTTTTCGTTGCTTTGATTATTGTCGATTTTGCCATTAAAACACCTTTAATAATATGAATCTAGGGAGAAATGTATTGCACCCGAGGCGAGCGTTTTGTAAAATACACTCGCCTCATTTGCACCCATCTCTTCAACTTTTTGAACATATCCTCAAACCAATCGGTGCTGTCTGAGCATTATAGTTTATTTATATATGGTTCCAGTTAGATGCGCTCTAGTATATCAAATCATATCCCATCCTATATGTGTATATTTTTTCTTCATTTTTTGTAAGAAGCAAATTGATGTATCTGTGATCCGTTTCTTAAAAAAAAACGAAAACCCCCCCAAACAAACAGAAAAAAGGACAAAAAAGCAGTAACCATACGAGACGAGTCGTGTAGCCCTCTGTTCCAGGAAAAAGTAGAAATCAAAATAGTCAACGGGTACTTAAAGACCGTTATTAGAATTTTTCTTTCTGTAGTCATTTCAAAAACCCCCAACTTGAAAAAGCAGCAACAAAAAACAATAACAAAAAACAACAGCAGCAGCAACAACAACAACAACAACAACAACAACAACAACAACAACAACAACAACAACAACAACAACAACAACAACAACCACGAAAACTACTGAATATAACAACAATACGAAAAACATTATCATTTTTTGTTAAGACTGTTACTATCATTACGCCATTTATTACATGTACAATGGAGAAATTGTTACAGATTTGAAGAGAACCAAGCGAGTCACAAAAGGTCTGGCAAACAAGACCAAAAACCGTGAGTGAGTTCTTTATTTGTTCATCTGTTTGTTGCCAATACCTTCATCTCTTAACGAAGCAAGAAAGATTTAAAAAATCAGAGAGAGATATAGATAGATAGATAGATAGATAGATAGATAGATAGATAGATAGATAGATAGATA